TGATTGATTTCTCCCAAGGGAACATAAAGTTAGAGATAGTTGTCGGTCAATTTTTGTCGGCTGGACCTCCCATTTCGCAGGCCTAAAATTTGAAAACCTGGAACATAGTGGAAGAAGAACACAGCATCTTGTAGAGCAGACAATTCTCTTTCGAATGGTATATGACTCGATGTAAAAGCATGGGGATTTAGATGAAAATTTTTTGGTTGAAAAAAAGCGACACTATTTATGAGACAACCTAATATTTTGTAACGAACTGAGGAACTGAAACGATCGTTCCTCTGCCTTATACAAACCAGCTTTCTGAAATAAGGTTTATCTAATCTAGTAGCTATGTTTGTATAGCACATCGGCCCAATATACCGTCAACTACCACGCCTGCAGCCAAACGGTCTCGTAACTAAACGAAAAGACCTGCGGAACGTTTCTTCACAGGCCGCATTTACTAGCTCCCTTCCTTCTTCAAAAGAAGGGGCACATGAACATTCACATCTTCGTCGGCCCCTTCCTGTGTAGGCAAAATACCGAGAACACTTGCGCCCTACCTGCCCTAAATTAAGACACATTTAATCTTTTTCTGACTAATGAAATTTTTCAACAAGGAATGTCTCCTGGGTAGCCAAGGCCATTCAAGAAGAGATGTATACGACTAGATGTGCCTTCGAACGCTGATCTCAAATCTACCTTCCAAATCTGCTAAACGATTCTCTGAACGGAGTTATGAAGCAAAACAGCGCAACGGTAGTGGTCGGGACTCACAGTCAAAATGTCGTAGGATCGGTATCGTAGTTGCTGTTTTGCATTCTTCAGGAATTCAGTTTTAGGCTATTGAAAGCCGTTCAGCTATATTTCTGAAGAATGGAAAACAGTAAACACGATCCTACGACGTTTTGACTGTGAGTCCCGACCACTACCGTTGCGCTGTTTTGCTTCATAACTCCGTTCAGAGAATCGTTTAGCAGATTTGGAAGGTAGATTTGAGATCAGCGTTCGAAGGCATACAACACTGTTGACATATATCACTTCTTGAATGGCCATGGCGACCTGGGAGTCTTTCCTTGTAAGTGCTGAGGTTTGTCACATTGAGGGTAGAGGTCGTATCACCCTCATAACTTCCCGGACAGCCTATTAATTATGTCTCTAATTACTACTCCGAAGAATCGAACAAAGCAGATTGCCTATTGAATTGTTGCTGATCAGTCTCTTTTCGAGATGCGCCATGGATTCGTCTGCAGTTCGCACCTTTTGCCGAAGAAGTGAATATTTAAAGGAATCTTGCGCGGAAAAATCATGATTCTATTTCAGCCATAAATCACTGGCTTGAGACTCATTATCCACGATAATAGTGAAAAGAACTGAAGTATTGCTTTCGTTTTGATTAGAAATTCGAAAACTCGAAAAGGCTGCTACGCGTTCGAATTGCCCACGGACGTCTTTCACGAATGCTGGCGACGGGGATGCTCAAACTTGGTTCTTGGAGTGCATTCACTAGAAGCTCTTTCTGGCCTTCTGCTTCGTTGCATTCACATCTTACACTTCTATCCATCCATTCCATCGATCGATTTGTCTCCACTCTCCGAAATCGCGCGCTTTAACCCGATTCTCTCATTGCGTCGCCTGGTACGTAGCCGGCCAAACGCCGTCTTCTTTCCATGCCTCGCCTGGCTCTGCCTCCTGGTCCTTCGATGGTCCATAACGTGTAGTTTTTGTACGTTTGTTTCTCTTCAGAAACCGAATCTTCATGCGTGAAACTTTGTGTGCTATTTCCAGTGATCACAACTGACATATTCATGTTAGGAAAGAGTGCAAGAATTTTCCGCGCAAGATTCCTTTAATCTATTTCCTGCCAACAACACTTCAAAAGAAAAGTCCATGGCGCCAGCCAGTACTACAAAATCATAAGCAACAGCAATCTCAGGATTGATTTCGTTCGAAAGAATTCATGGAAACCTTTGCCTCCGTTTTGACGAATCTTCAGTATATTCTCGAAAAGGAGATAGCGCAACGTCTTGTACATTTTCGCTACACAAACCGTAAGCTCAGCTCCTCATTCACTGTCACTGTGTTCCACACCTTTTGATGCGACGCCAAGAAGATGAAGCATCAAAAACATAGTCGTTACGCTTGTGAGTTATTCTATTATACAATGATCTCTCTACTACAACACTATAATATGTTTGTTCAGCAAAGAAGGTATGAGAACAGTTTGGAACTTCTTCTTCTTATGAATTCGTTTATGATCATTTGGAGGAAGGAAACCCTCACCTCGATGGTCTGGTAACGTAGGAGTGTTGCACTGATTCGCGGCAAAGTCGGAACCAATTGTTGAAACCCCTCATTCTGTTCCCAACACTGCCGCCTTATGAAATTTGTTCAATCGGTGGTGTCTTCGTCTTACTCGTCTGTATAATTTCGACTTCTTGTCCCTATCTTCTCGACTTCCAGTTTCTCTTCGGTATAGATCCGTGAGTGGACGAGTTTCACGAAGGGCCAGCTCCAGATTCTCACGGGCCAATCACGAGCCAAAATGCTGACGCTGCCGCAACTGAGGCAACTTGTCGAAATGCAAGCGTAGAAGCAGATATCGGCCGAAGACCAAGCTTGCAGACGGAAGTGTGGATTGCGGGCTCTTATTGGGCGCCTTTGTCGCTAAGAGCCTGCAATCCACACTTCCGTCTTCTTAAGCCATGAAAGGTGCAGGACCTTGATGCTTCTACGCCTGTACCACGATGGAATGGGTCAACAAGTCTAATATCGAGGTGTCTTTAAAGGCAAACCCCAGGATTAGCCCGACTTGTGGAAAGGATACCGCGAGGGAAATTGTAAGGTCCGTACCTACCTAGATCACTCCAGCTTCGTCGCAAAAATTGCGCGGTTAGGGCGCTAATCCTTACGGGCCTGCAACCATCGACCCCCGTTGCAACGCTTCCCACCCACCTCGATGTGAGATCAGCGTGCTCTCTCGAACGACGTGCTCTCTCGCGTGTTTTGTCTTCTTTGATCGCCCTGTCTCGCCATCGTACCACATCCGACCTTATTGAAGGTTAAGGCCTTAATTTCAGCGTTCCCAAAGATTTCTCTTGCTTTCCTTTCCACTTTCAGGTCGTTCCGCAGCTAAGCTATCACTACGAAGCGCTCATAGCACCAGTTTAATCCCGGTGTTTGCCTTTAAGGTGATATACAAAAAGCAAATTATTTTGGGTGATTTTCGATACTTGTTATTTTTCAAGGGTGAGCCGCTCATTATTTTCGGAATAGCTGCTGAATCATCACTGTCCTCACTCTGCAATCGCAGCCACAATCACGACATTGAGAGCACTCACCAGGGCGAATAATGTTTGTAGAATTATAGATGCAACGATGATTGTTATGCAGGATGCCACGTAGAAAATACGGCCCGAGCCAATCAACGGATAACTTGGAGTCGAACAATTATAGCTTGGCATTATCTATTATAATTTTATGTATGGCAGACCTTCAGTTACTCCGGGTTCGAAGCTGAAAC